CATGATTATTAAAGACTTACTTGCTCCCTCTGTTTGATGCTCACGAAATGTCACAAAAGGCAAATTATTCTCACTGCCAGCACAAAAAGGTGTGCCACGAAACCTATCTTGACCTTAATATCAAATAACAGTTTATTTGTTTGAATGCGTCGTGGTTAGAATTACATTTAGCTATTTGTAGTTGTTTAGTTGATACCCAGAGCAAATCAGGGTGACTAACAGGGGTGAGAGAGGAGGAAGAGACTATTGGATGCACATTCTTCAGTTAATCAATCCAATCAATGAGTAACTCTGTAGTATGTGAGCCTAAACAGGTGAGTCGCTGGGAATACAAATTTGCCATTCTGGGGCAGTTTATGTTTCGTATAATATTTTTGTGCAAAATACAAATCTGGATCAGTGGTCTGTTGTTGTTTTTGGAGATGGTGGGCTGTAGTTGAAAGGACCATGCTACAAGTTTGGTTAGGTTTAACAGGCTGAACTGTTGCTGTACTGCTCAACATCACACTGATCCCATTTCCTACAGATACAAATTAAAATGAGAAATGTCTCCCTCTGCTGGTTAAAGCAACTCCCAGCATTTACCTATCAGTTCACATCCTTAACTGGCTTAACTTATGCTGTTGTGCTACTTAAACTGAATAGTTTCCACAGTGATTAATAATTGTCATATGACAATTGATGTCTGATCTGGTTACTTTATGTCAAAATATCTCTTATTACCTTCCAAACCAATCAGCTGCAGAGGGGCGTCGAGCGAGGTGCTAAAATGATGTGTGTGTGGGGGGGGGGGGTCCTTTTCTTCTAGTTTAGTGCCAACTACCAGAAGCCCTGACCTTAAGTGTAACTCATCACTCGATTAGCTACCCCTGTCACAGTTAACCAGATCATCCTACATTAAAGAAAATGAGAAGTGCAGCAATTATGGCAGAAAGGAAGAAAATGGGATCAAATTTGAAAGCCTTTTAGACGTGGAGAAAAGCTCGGTTACGGAGGAATTTGACTGAAGGGGCTTTGTGATTAGTATGTAATAGCCAATATATCTGGATGATAGTCAGTGATACCCTAGCTTTCAAACATTAATTGTTCATATATCAGAATTTGTTTACAATGCCAGCAGGCGAGTGAGAAACCCATGCAGGTTGATGGGTGGCATATTGTAATAGCTTCTTATAGTGGCTCTAATTGATGGACTGAGAGTTACACATTCTTTTTCTTAATTTCATCAATATTCATCAGACATGGATACCATTTAAACCAGTTAAATTTCATAAGATCAAAATGAAATATGCTGAAATACATTTGTGAAACTGAAACCTGCATGCTAATGAGTTTAGGTCCTTTTTTCTGTTCAAATGCTAACATTTGAAATAAAATCCCATACCACATTCCCTTCTTTTTTACATATTTTAATCTTCTGAATCAAAATTGTAACCATGAATAGAATCTTTCAACAACCAATGTCAAATGATAATTGCTTTTTATTATGTATTCACTTTTATGAATATTTTTTTTAAGTCGTCATTTATGAAGAATGTTTTCTCTCAACTTGTTTTATTGTTCTGTGTTTGTTTTGCCTTTATGCTGTTTTATTGCTGTTTGTCCTTATTTGGTGACACAGCTGGACATATAGTTTTAAAATTGAGACAGGCACACAGCTGCAAATGTTTTTCATTGCTCTGTGTTTTGCCTGCCCCCCCTCAAAAAATTAAATAAGATAATTCCAAATATTCCAGCCCTTCCTCACCAGAAAAACGGCCGCATAGGTAAATCATTGTATAGCTTATTACGACCCATATTTATGTTTATTGTTAGGACTCGACCTCTAGTGGCAGAATAAGTCAGGTAAGGACTGTGGCGGGGTGGATCAATGTGTCAAGTAAACTAAGGACTTTCACTCAGGAGACAGAGGTTTGAGTCATGTGCGAAGAAAAGTCAAAGTTGATTTGTTTTAAGTTACATAACATTTTTTAGAAGACTAAACTGAAGCAGACCAGACCCTCAGTAACGGTGAAAGAAGCCACTTCACAGTATGAGAGTGTGTTCTATCATGCTGGCTGAGCCTCTTCTTGGAGTTCCTCCCGCTGCCAGAAATGCAAACATGTCTGCTCTCCTCTTATCAGCCGGGTCATTGACACTCAGAACACACACAGGCAAAACAGGCACACTGAGGCATCCTCATTAGGACTGGCAGAAACACACCCAGAGGTCCTCTCAAAAGATTTTCCTGCGGTAATATAATGATTTAGAAAAAATATAAGAAATTAAAGAACATGTAGTCTAAATTTTAATTGGTAAATATAAACATATTGATTATACAGCTTTAAAGAAACTTATTTGGCCTGTTTCAAGGAGTGTCAGATAGGCTTTCTTATTTCTGTCTCAAAAAGATAAAATATATACCTCCTTCTCACTCTCCTACTTGTAACTCTGCTACATTACTCTTTCTCTTTTTCCTTTTTTCCCTCTCCTGGTGTTATTTCTCTCCTCAGGCTTGCCCAGAAGCCTGGCCGCTGGTCTAGGCTTCCAAGTGAGAGACGCCACTTCAAACTCTCTCTTTGTTGAACAATAATGTCATTAAAACTGCCTGGACTGCTAGAAACTTCTCTGTGGGTGTTCTAATACAGTATAGCGTTTTTAGACAGCAGAATTATTGATCAGCTTATTAACCATGCCTTTAGGCTTGCCTTTATGGACCTGTGATGGAAAAATAAGTTACTCCATTACTGGATTTACGTCCCTGGAAGTGCAAGAGGAAACCGGTGAGGGTGATAAAACACAGACAAATTTGTTTACTACATATTTCTTATATGGGATGACAGGTGGGATTCATTAACTCCACCTCCCTGAAGCATGCACTGTAATCCCTGTGGGACCCTTCATAACTCTGCTGTGCTTCATACACCCAAGGGCTGTAATAATCTCAAACTGTTCTCCACGAGCACATATTTCTCTGATTGTCTGCGTGCCTGTCTTCTATCTGTCTATTTCATTCACACAGACACAGCATCCGCACTGCGCTTTCACAGCTGCCACTCTTTGCCATTCTTTACACATCTAGCCTGTGTTCTCCATGCAGCTCGCTGACCTGAGCGCTTGCTATGTAGGAGGTGCAGCTTCTTTTCTCGTCCACACATAAACACACGTCTTTGATTTTTTGAGGTCTTGTTAAACTTATCACATCCACGCAAGATCATTGAAGACCTGCGATCAGGTTCAATTCCGGGTACCTTTGTGTTTAATGCTGACTGCTTGAGTCTGTGCGCCAGTAGGCATGCTAGACCCTTCTCTGTTCCCCCTCACAGTCCCCCTCTCCAGGGGGCCTTCGGTCAATCTTTCCACGTCAGTGCATATTGTACAGCACTTGACCGTCTAAGCCCTCATCACACTAGTCACCCCCCCAAGGCAACTCCAGGCCTTCACCCTGACTATTACCTCGCAACTCATGACAAGCACATGATGGGAGAATGGCCATGGCTCAGGTTTTAGCTGAGACAAAAACTGAGAAAAAAGAGCCAAAGGGATAAAGGCAAGCTTGTTGCAATGGTGAAACATTTTCTATTGTGCTGAGGTCATTCCTTCATGTCTGGTAGAACATGTAGAGCTCGCTTATCATAATTAAGGGAAATCATACCATAATGTCTAATATATGTTATTTTTCTATTGTCAAACATGTATAATCAAATGTATTTAAGAAATAATAATAAAGTAATTAATGAAACAGACTATTTCCTAGCCATGCACAGTGACTTCCTGGAGTCTTGTCATCCAAGAAGTCCCTGCTAAGCAAAGCTAACCATGTCCTGGCTCTTTCTTTAACTGCACTTCTCTTCACATTTCAAACATAATTTGTTGGTGCCCAGTGGGAACGGGCTTTTATTTTGGTCCTCAACTGTGTCTTCGGCACCGCTGGACATTTTTTTCCCCTTACGTTGGATGCCATAAGGCTGCATTATCCGCACACTTTCCCAAACTGCTCCTAAAACACACACATAGAAACACACTCGTAAGCAAAAGTAGATACCGCTTACAGCACTGGATACACTGCTGTGACATACAAAAGAACAGCAGCATTATATGCTTTTGCCTCCTGATGTAGACTTAAGCATTAGGATCCTTCAGTATTTTCACGAGTGAAGCTTAGTAGAATTTGCTTGACATATACAGTACCTCAATGGTGATGGTGGAAAAAATCATGAGTGGGAAAATGATGTGCTAAAGATAGTACATGTTTCAAGGTCTTATCCTTTTTAAAGCATGGAGTCTATGTGTGCATGCTTCTATAGGCAGGCTTGATGCCTTGTACATGTATGCAAATGGAATTACCATTATTATAACTGCTTATTGTCTGAGGAAGTAATTTGTAAAGTTCCCGTTCTCCACCCCCCCGTCTCTCTTAACCTTTCATCTCCCTCATTTCTCTTCACCTCTCTTAACCTCTGCCCTTCTTCTGTCATGTTCCTCCTCCTATCTCTCTTCTCAGTTTTATCCATTTGTTCTTGTTCTCACTGCAAGAACTCCCATGGCACAAGGAGTCTGTCTCTCCTCTCCTCTCACTGATGCCACTCATGTTGGTTTGCTAGAAGTGGCTGGTTTATTAAAACACTATATATACTGTAGCTTTGTTCATATGACATCACAGCAGCTTCTACACTGATGTTTTTGATTAGAGAACAAATTGCTTCCCTACACTTCCCGGCTTCCCTTCCATACCCCCTTTCTGGAAAGACACAGGCAGCTTCAGCTCCTGCTGGGACCCCCGGAGACTCTTATCATCATGTCTCTTCATTCTGGGTTAATGGAAGAAGAAGCTCAATAAGGGCACTGTATTCTATATAGCCCTGTTCATGTTACAGGATAGTAGTTGCAGTACCTCTGTAATCTTTTGTCTCTCTCTCTCTCTCTCTCTCTCTCTCTCTCTCTCTCTCTCTCTCTCTCTCTCTCTCTCTCTCTCTCTCTCTCTCTCTCTCTCTCTCTCTCTCCTGCTGTCCATCCAACAGAAACATTTGAGGTCTTGATGAGGCAGGCGGAGAATCACACTAATGCCGTCCTCCAGGAGTCGTACCGGAACATGGCTGATCAGTCTATGGGCCCTGTGCGGGAACTCTTCACTGATATTAGTCTCTTCCTGCTGGGGTCTGAGTTCAACATTGATGACCTGGTACAGCGATTCTTCGACGCACTCTTCCCGCTGGTCTACAATCACCTCATCAACCCAGGCCTCAGCGACATATCACCAGGCTACGCTGAGTGTATAAGGTTGTCCCGCCGTGATGCGAGACCGTTCGGTGAAGCTCCCAGCCTCCTGGCTGATCAGATTGCTCGCTCTGGGGTCTCCGGGAAGCTTCTTCTTCAGGCACTGCACCTCGGCATTGAGGTCATCAATACCACAGACCATTTACAGCTGAGCCGCGAGTGCAGACGGGCCCTGCTCAAGATGCACTACTGTCCTCACTGCCAGGTCTGGATACATGTTTCTGAAGTGAGTTTATTGATCGGAAAGAATGAAAGTTTTTACCAGCTCCACTGATCACAAAGTAATTTTCTTCACAGGGCTTAACCCAGTCCAAGCCCTGCATGGGTTACTGCCTCAATGTGATGCGGGGCTGTTTGGCAAGCATGGCAGAGATTGACACCCACTGGAGGGAGTTTGTTCGCTCACTGGAGGGCCTGTCGGCACGGATGCATGGGCTTCAGGATTTGGAGCAAGTGCTTCTTGGAGTTCACACGCTGCTTCATGATGCTGTCGGACACGCTCAGAAAAATGGACCCCGCCTCTCAGCACAGGTCAGATTGTCTTTGAGGAGAGATTTTAGTGTTGTTTAGGACGGTTGAATTGAGACTGTGCTGGGGCTTTGTGGGAGGTGAAAACCAGTGTCACCAGTAAATCTGGGAGTGGGAGAAGAATGGATTAAGGAGAAAGCGTTTTAGTCAGTCCTGGAAAATTGTTATTCTGAATTACACTACTGTTTCAGCTGCTAGCACCATGTCACATAGGTAAGTGGTGTGAATTACTAAAGACTGCACAGACACAGACTACAGACAACAGGTTGGTCTCAGAGCAGGCCAGAACCCCAGAAATACATCCACATGGGCAGCTCCAAGGCGGTCAGAAACTTGTAACTTGAAACATGTAACTTTCAGTCCACATTCAAGTTATATGTTATGAAATGAAGTCCACAGGACTAAAGTGTGAGTCCTTTTCAGATAGAGACGTCACACCTCCATCTGGTGGTTGTCTAATGTCACTGCTGCTCGATAGATACACATGGAGTACTTTCAGAAATGGGAGATGATGGGCTTGGCTGCACTAATGGCCTTGATATAAACGGCTGTCACTCAGCCATCTGAAATAAGTCTTATTGGTCATGCACCAGTACAGCTTAACACGATTTAAAATGCATGTTTCCCCCCTCAGTGTTTAGACTTAAATTTGTGTCTGTCTCATTGGGTAATAGGTACACAAACTGTGTGGCCCACCAAGCAGGAAGCCTGCGCAGTCAGTCAGCATCCTGCACAGCAGCAGCAGAGAATCCATCCCTCTTAAAGCTCTTGTCAGAGAGTCAGGGGACTCGCTCGCTGTCAGGAGAAGGTAAGTGGGTGAAATATGACAGATGTGTGCATAGAGAGAAGTGTCATTTTCAGATTTTGGTTCATTAAATCTGCAATTAATATGTAAAACACTTGTTTAAAACACTTGTTAAACAAGTGAATTACTCTGTGCCTACATGTGGCTGCTTTTTTAGGGATTTTCTGAACAGTCTACGTCTCTATCGTACATACTACGGTGGCCTGGCGGATCAACTGTGTGTGAGTGAGCTGGCCCCTGGTGACGGGCTGTCCTGCTGGAATGGTACTGACGTTGTAAAAAGGTTTGTTGTATTGAGAGGGTTTTTTATTTGTCTCCCATTTGTTTTGACAAACATGATGTCAATATTATTCACTGATAATTTAATGGTATGCCACTGGTTCATATATCTGTGACAACAACATGCAGATGCACACACAGCCAAACACTCAGTGACATAAAGCACAATTTATTCCTCCTATTTTAAGCATTCAAGAATGTCATTTTACATGTAGCGTCAACAATTTAATGCAGCTCCTTTATCTGAACAGTTTTACATTAATAAATGTTTTTCACATCACTCCTAATTCTAACTAAGTTGAAGAGTAGATATGATCTTGCTTTTGTTTTGTATGTGCAGTTTATGAAATTACTTGCAAGCACGGGAGTGCACGAGAGATCGGTCTGTACACTGAGAATGGACTTTTCAGTGAAGTTGATTTTGCAATGAGGTACAAGGAGTAGATGTAATTTTAAGAATTTTTAACAAGGTAAACAGTATTTTTTTTTACTTTTTGTATTTTATTGATTTCTGGTCTCTGAAAACATACCATAAGGATATGGAATTAAGTCTCAATCTCAGTTAATTTCTTAGTTATTGCTATTGAACAAAGATTGTTGTGGATGAGATCTACTTTTTGGTTTACTTTTAAGCCAAACATTGTTTTTTTTGGTTCAAGGCCCGCTAATTTCTTGAAAACATCCCTATATTCTGCTCACAGACAGATAAAAAATAAGCTAGCTAACAGGGTAAAAAAATGACCTTGGCAGAGGACCTAGTAACATTTCTGTAACACTTTTGACCCAGCACAAATCTGAACATAAAGGTTATCGCAGCACATGGTAAAACATGCAGAGAGAGAGAGGCATAGAGAAATCATATACCACTCTAAACACCTCTGTAATAAATGTATTATCTCAGTCATCATTTCTTATACACAAAATCAGTTTAACAATCTAGCAAACATTGTGAAAGAGATTCTTCTCAGATCAGACCTCTTCCAATCTTCCCCTCGGAGCAGAGGAGGTTAAAAAAAAACATCGTACAACCGCTGTGATAATCTAACCAGCACTCTCTCCTCATGTTTCCAGTGTTCAGTGGATTCATTGTGAGAAGCGGGGCAGAGAGTCCCTCGTGGTCATGATGATCATTAATTAAGGCTTCAAAGGCCAAATAAGTTTAAAATCTATCAGTGATGCAGCCTGTCTGAGAATTCCTCATTTTCACCACTTTTTAAAACATCCCTCTGCTCCCTCTCGTGCATCAGTTTCCAAATATTGCATGAACATGAAGCTTTTTCTGTCACTGTGCTGGCATGGTTGAACGAATACGGAAGAAACATGAACGTAAGTAAAGAAATTTTTGTCTTAAAGACAAAAAGCCATCACTTAATGCAACATAATGTCTGAAAAGGTTTTCAGTTCCAGTGCCATCTCACTGAATGATGCTGGCATGAGTAGACCGTTTGTGCACCATTTTCATAACAGAAAGTGAACATTTTGTCCTCAAAGTTTATCTGTTAGAAGCAGGAAAAGCGGTGACCCGATTACAGGGTCATTAATGCAAGTGAGGAGCGATAGCGTAGCCACAGCCACTGTCATGGTGCCCACGCAGACCCCCGCCTACAATGGGCACATGAGCATCAGATGGACCCCGGAGCAAGGGAAGAAGGTGGCCTGGTTAGATTAATCCCACTTTACATTTTACATTTTAACCATTGATGGCCGGGTGCCTGTGCATCTCTTGCTAGCGAAACACATAGCACCAGGATGCACTATGGGAAGAAGGCAAGCCAGCAGAGGGCAGTGTGATGCTTTGGTCAAAGTTCTGCTGGGAAACCTTGGGTCCTGCTTATCATGTGGATGTTACTTTGGCATGTACCACCTACCTAAGCATTGTTGCAGACCATGTACACCATTTCATGGAAACAGTATTCCCTGATGGCAGAACAAAACTAGTTTAAGGTGTTGACTTAGCCCCCAAATTCCCTAGATGTCAGTCCAATCAAGCATCTATGGGATGCCCTTGACAAACAGGTCCGATCCATGGAGGCCCCTGTCTCGCAACTTACAGGACGTAAAGGATCTGCTGCTAACGTCTTGGTGCCAGATACCACAGCACACCTTCATATGTCTAGTGGAGTCCTTGCCTCAGTGGGTCAGGGCTGTTTTGGTGGCAAAAGGGAGAACTACACAATATTAGGCAGCATAATGTTATTGTGTGTGTGTGTGTGTGTGTGTGTGTGTATATGTATACTTACCCCACAAACAAGATGACACCGTGCTCACAAACATAGATCTTGGATATGAACAGCTGTGAACTGGAGCAGACAAACTGGCCTCTTTCATAGCATCAGTCAGCGGCCTTGTCTCTATTACATCACAGCTCTCCATCTTACCCGTGCTGTCATCACTCAAGGACCCCCTCATATATCCTCTGTCTGTGGTTGTTCCTCTTAACTGTCAGCTGCTGTCAGCACTGTAGAAATGGCAAGTGGGCCCGTATTTCAAACTACGGTGAGGTTGGGGTTGCCAGTTTGGTTAGACGGTCTATTGTAAAGGATGACAGCCTTGTTGAGATTGTTTCACAGCAGCTGTGTGAAGGTAAGAAAGTTGGGGGTGGGGGCGGGGTCTTTCACATTCTTCTTAGCATCTTAGAGTATCAAGGTTTCAAGTTTCATTTTGGCAATAACAATTTACTCTTACCATCCTTTATCTTCCAACATAACACCTCAAGTTTCCATTACAAGGGAGGCAGACATCTCTGAGAATAGAGATGCTTCTTATATGTTGGAGAATAGGCAGACTGTCCATCATCTCTGCCAGCAGCCTCTGGGAAATGTTTATGGTCTGTGGGCTTCTCTCTGCTCTTTAACGCTGCTTCCTCTTTTACTCATTCGCACCAACACATTCACAGGGACTCATTCACCTCAGGTTAACTCACAGGTTTTCATTTGGATTTGGACATTAACACTCCCCCCCACTCCCTCCAAAAAAAGGTAGAGGAAGTATGCTGAGGAATTGAGGGACATTATCCTCTGGGGAGATGAGTCTCTGAGGAGTCTATCGAGTCCCTGCAGCTTAGCAGGCTTCCTGCAGCTCTACAACCCTGTGCTGCTTTCTATTAGCCTAGAACCATAGATGAGTGTCTGGGAGTCAACACAAGCTGAGACTAAAGCAATAAATAACCTCGTGCCTACGGGTCATAACCCAACATCCACTGAGAGAGAGGGGAATAAAACTTGCTGCTGGATGGTGGCTGATTTACAGAAGCTTATCGAGGCCTCAGAGACCTTAAACGATTGGTTCAGTTGCTGTGTGCGTGTGTGTGTGCGTGTGAGAAACTACATTTGAATGTGTGCGGATGCCTTTTATAACAGCTCTTTGTGCGTGCTGGCAGATTGTTTTATGGTCTTAAAAAAGTAGTGAGCTGCACCACAGCTTTGTCTTATTTAATAAAATAGGGCGAGCACAAAAAAACATGACACAGGAGCCAGAGATTTGAGGGAGATTTGATGCACGTCCACATCTGGGTCCCTGGTAAACAAAAAGATAAAGAACAATCAGATAAGATCATAGAGGAGGAACACAAGCAGCTTTCATCTCAGTGTCTATGTGAATGAAAGAAGATGATGGGGTCTTGCTTCAGGGGAGATTAAGTAAACACATTCTTTTTCTCTGTTTGTCTCTCTCTGTCTCCAGGTTTGTCCCCTGCTTATACACTCATGCTGGGGGGGGGGGGACAAAGATTGGACATGACATTTTCTGATTAGTATTTTGGCTGATTAACAGATGTTTCATCTTTTGTGACAGCTAATTTTCCCTGAAATAATCCCATATTGAGTCTCTGCATTAAACTGAAGCAACGTGCAGGCTGGTGAGGTGTTATTGTGCTCACAGTTTATTATTAATCGTATTTTTACAGAAGAAAAAAAAAGATGCAATTACCATACCATACCATTTCAGATATTTTGGCTATTTTGCTCCAGGATACGATAACATGTTCTCAAGATTTGTGTATGGTAGGGCTGGATACCACACCAGAATGTGTCGGTACCGAAAGGTGGTATTCAATGCTTTGTTAGCAGTCTTGTTCACTTATTCGTTAATTTCACTTTTCTTAATCTGGCAATAACAGATTTTGGGGGGCAACTTGTGGGTAGTGGAAACAATCCGTAAACAACAATGAAAATAATCACCTTTTTAAGCTAAAGAGTTGCCTATTTTAACACCCAGAGGTTTATGAGCGGATCTGAAGTTGTATTTGAGGCCACATGATGAATGTAAGTCCAACATTCACTGTATTTTAGCTCTGCTTTTGGTCTCCACCAATTCCTGAGGGAAATATCTGGCTCTTTAGTTTCTCAATGCTCCACTATGTTCACCAGCTAGTCACTAACTCTGTCTGTCTGCTGCTGAGCAGGCAGTGTACAATTTGTTTTTAGAGCTTTTTATGCTGATAACAGCTGCCTGCTGTGGCTGAAAACAACACTGGTGAGAACATTGAGATTGAACCAAAACCGTGAAGTTGCTATTAAACCAATTTGCTTAAAGAACCAAAAAATAGAGTTGAGGGGAAAATGCGGTGGTAGATGATAGTTGGTGGGTGCTCATGTGATCCAAGTATAAAAATATTGATTATAGAAAAAAAACTGTTTATATGAGAACCAAAATTCTGGTATTGTATCAGCAGTAGTATTGAGAAATGATAATCCATACCCACTTTGTCTTGTGATTAATGTCACCGGATAGCAAGAAGTAAATAATAAAATGGTGAAACATCCCTCAATCTGTGGACATGAGGGTGATCTTCTTTGGTTGGAGACACTGTCCCCATTTGGGCAGAAAGGTTAACACATACCCACATTCTTTCTCCATCTGTCATGGATACACACACACTGAAGGAATGGCAGGTTGCCATGAGCTGCCCCCTCTCTATAAGTGTGCACACACACACACACACACACATAGTCACACACCAGCTACCATTTCGTCTTTGTTTCTTTGTTGGAGTAACAGACTGAC